CGCGCGCGCGCGTGCGCACACACACACACACACACACACACACACACACACACACACACACACACACACACACACACACACACACACACACATATCTATCGTTCTCTATCTATCTATCACATGATAAGAAAAACAAAACAAGAGCAATTATTATCACATGCATTATTAGAACTGGCCACTAAGGAGTGCCAGGGACTGTGGGTACTGATCCCATGGATACAGGGGTCCTACTGTATTGACAAAATCACAGCAAACTGCTGAGGGCCAAGTAGGGTCATTTGAGGTCCATATGCCATTTGGATGTGAGGATTGCACCAAAGGGCATACTGGACTTACTAGCGACCCTATTTAGCCTGTTCCAGCCCACTCCAGCCCATCCATATAAACGAGTGCTTAGATAAATATGTCAGATACATTTTGCCCAGTACTGGGCAACATCAGTTGGGGCACCTACCATCAGACTGTCCATAGTACATGTTTAGGGGCATAAAGTCGATGGACGTAAGTGTGACATTGCCTGTTCTTCTCTGCAGAGAGCTGTGTCAATGCAGAAACCGGTAGTTTTCTTAGGGGCATCTTAGTTCATCCAGTTCCAGACACAGGGTTGTTGGTTGCTGCAGACATTTGGAGGCTCATATGACACCCATTCCTATTTTAAGCAGCCGTGATGACCATTAAAACTTCCTGCTCTCATTTGTCTGAAGTGATGCTGTCTTATCTTGAGAACCTTTTGTTTAGGATCCTTGGTATTGCTGTAATTTGTAGAGGGCGTTCACTTTCCCTTCTCTTTCACAAGTGGAATTTTAGCCCACATTTGTTTTTATGAACAGTACAAATAAACCCCTGTATAATGCTCCCGTTTATTGCCTGAGGATGGATATCCTGGTATTGTCATAGAAATGGGTTTGTGCATGAAACTCCTGGGGCGCACACATTGACTGATCAAGCAGAAAGCCTTTCTCTCTTTTTAGGAATTAATTATACTACAAATTTAGGAAAGTAAATAATAGCAACAGTATTTCAAGGGGAACAGGAACTTACCTTTCACGTAAACGTAATTTAGAGTAGTTCCTGTGATTCTTGATTTTTATTACAGATTTGTCATTTGATACTTCTGATAATTAAAAACAAAGTTTACAAATCTTATTCGTGGTTATTTCAGGTAGAGCCAGATTGAATGTAGTGGGAATTTCTTCCCACTACATTCATAGGATTATATTCTCGGGTTACAATCTTATAAATGTTTACTTGCAAATAAGTCCAATTAATTACAGTAGAACTTACTTTTGAGCACACATGCACACATTGAACTGTTACTTGGGTAGATTAGTCAATTAAAGCTTTAATTGATGAAGCAGTAGGGACATATTTTGCGAGTGACCTTGGAAACTAAAAGCACTCTTGTTTATTAATAGAAGCAGTCTTGCGCTCATGTTACTGCACAGGGAACAGCCAAGAAAGCATTAACTGCCTAGTTTCCTTCTTGGAATTATTGATAGCTTACGATTTAATAATATTCCCATATCCTCACACTGTGATGTGCATTATGCTTTTGGTGGGGAAAGCTGATGGACTAAGGAGGGTAGGGATGCCCTCACCTTCCATTTTTTTTGGGGGGGATGTACCCTACTCTGGTTATGAGCCACCTATGAGAGGCAATGGGTTGGTTGCATAGTTCAGTGAGTTAGGTATCTAGCTGTGGAGTCAAAGGCAGGTGTGTGATTCTTCACTGCATACCAAGAGAAGAGCCAGCCTGTGTAGCCTTTGGCAAGCTGCATAGTCCCAGGCTGCCCCTAGAAGAAGGGAGTGGTAAACCACTTCTGAGCACGCTCTACCTAGAAAACTCTGGAAAGGGTTGCCAAAAGTCAGAAACCAACTTGTCAGTGTACAGTTGTTTCTATTACAGTGGGGTCTTGACTTGAGAACTTAATCCGTATTGGAAGGCAGTTCTCAAGTCAAAAAGTTCTCAAGTCAAATCTGCATTTCCCATAGGAATGCATTGAAAACCATTTGATCCGTATCTGCTCTTTTCCGTCCATAGAAACTACAGTACTGTAATGGGAAGCTGCTATTCCGCCTTTGACCACTAGAGGGGGATATTTTGTTTCTTTTTTTCTTAGGTCAAGAAAGGTTCAGGGAAGGCAGGGAAAATACAGTCTAGGCAGTACAGTACCAGGCAGTCTGAAGACTGTCTCCCAATCCACTCTCTAAACACTGGGAGGAGTGAGGAAGCAGACAGGCACCCTGTTCACTGGCCAACAGTTAATTGAAAGTTCACATTTTGCACTTTCCCTGCCTCCCACGTGGTTTTTTGCCCCTAGAAGAAGGGAGTGGTAAACTACTTCTGAGCACGCTCTACCTAGAAAACTCTGGAAAGGGTTGCCAAAAGTCAGAAACCAACTTGGCAGTGCACAGTTGTTTCTATTATTATCACATGAGGCACAACTTTGGGGAATATAAATATTTTAATTATATTTCTTTGGGCAAGAGATACAGTGGATCAGATAAATATTCTTTTTTCAGCAAGCAGCTCTGCTTTCATTTAATATTTGTCTTACACGCTCAAGATCAATAAATATTAATTGGCTTTTTAATTTCATTCAAGAAGCAGAAGCTGGTGAAGCAGCTGCCACTAGAAAGCATTTGCTTAGAAACTGATTCTCCTGCATTAGGACCTGAAAAACAGGTAAAGGAATTGGCTGTAAAGACAAATTTAGTCTGCAACAGATGCTTCTGGAGACTTATCACATTTTAAAAAATGTATTTCAGGTGAGAAATGAACCAAAGAATATCTTCATTGCTGCAGAATATATTGCTAAAATAAAAGAAATATCAGTGGAAGAAGTTTTAAACATCACTACACAGAATGCACTGAAGGTCTTTCCCAAACTGAAAACTTTCCTCGGGAAATAGCTAATATTTTGCTGTGATATTCTTCTGATCCAGCTTTGATGTACATCTCAGTGGAACTTCCCATCCTGCCTGATATCAAGTTATATTGATTCTGTTTTTGACTCTTCCATCATGTCGGTTGATCAAGAAAGCTATGTACCAAACAATGCCATTGCATTTCTCTTAATACCATTTTCCCCCAGAACTTTCACATTTGCTTATTTAACAGTGAATTAATGAAAAGCACAGAAACAGATATTAGTGATAGAATCAAGCCATTTAATTCTCATATTTGCATGCCTGCTCATCCAGATGTAATTTTGTCTTTTATATTCACAGTACAGTAGTGCAGGCTGGGTTAGCAGAGAAAGAAACATGTCATTTTGGGAGCATTTTAGCAGAGTAAGGATTCGAACCTGAGTTTTCCTCTGGAATTCTAATTCCTTACCATGGGTTTGCAGCTATGCAAGGAACTGCATGAGAAGGTCAGAACAAACGTGAGGCAATTAGACTGAGGGGGTGAGATACCTTGACATAGTTGCAAACCTTTTAAAAGAATCTGGATTGTGCAATTTCAGATCCCCTTACATACAAACCTCATCTGACTAAAGGGTCATTTCTCATTCACTTAGGATTGCATAATATTTTTCCTACACTTGACTACATGGATTTAAAGTATGGGTATATGAATTTAAAAGACATTCAAATTAAGCTGTATCCTGAAACAATTTTAGTTTGCATCTTAGAGTCTCCCTGGGTCCATTGGGATGCTTAATATGAGTTTGTAACTTGATTTTCTGCAGGCCCCCCATTTCTTTGGATGGTACAATACTACTTAGTACATCTATTTTTAAAGCAGAAATTTCCAATTTTTTTTTCAGCATCACACACATCCCTTTTTCTAAGAAACCCACATGCCACTCTGGCTCTCCTTTACTGTCCTCCAAACCCTTTTAAAATATATTTAAAAATTAAAAATAAACACAAACAATCTAAATAAAAATCAAAACTATTTTAAATGCTTTAAATAAGAATAAACATGAATTGTTTTTATTGAGAAATCTGCAATACTGGTTCCAATGAATCTCACAATCCTGCATCCCCTTAGAATTTCATAACAACTTTCTAGGGTCACTCCCCTCAGTTTGGGAACCAATCATTTAAAGTCACATGCACTCCTACTTTCAGGCTTCTGTAGAAAGGACTCTGGCAAAACAATGCTACTGTATTTCCAAGTCAAGAAAAGAGTTACACAAAAAGCTTTAAATAACTGATTAAAAAAAAGACATAGCTACTGCACAGTATCAAGCAGTCATTGCTATTTCTCAAGTACTGCATCACAAAGGTCTTTGAACTAGTTCTGTGTACTAAAAGTTATGAATTTTTATGTCACCAGAACCATACAATCAACAATAAGGAGGACTGTCAATAGACTCAGAAGTACAAAAATACTTTGTGGGGTTGCAGGGGAGGAGGGAGACAGAAGAAGTCTTAAAACTAAAAACACTTCAATGAATGCTTAGTGTTCTCAATGTCAGCCTATAGAGATTAGGTAGGGAGATGTGGGCCCTGAATCCTGAAAGCATGCTGAAAAGTGTTGCTTTGTTACTTAGATAAAATGCTATAGTACTTATTTATTATTTTTAAATTTTATTTAAAATATTTTACCACTTCTTTCTCCTTAAAAAGGACCCAAGACAGTTTACATATTTAAAAGCCAAAAACAGTAAGTATACATACATTAAATCAAACAAATATCACACTGAAACAGTAAAAAAAATCAACTCAAAAATATTTAAAAACAAACAAGGGACAACAGTCCATTTAAGAACCTTTCTTAGACAGCTAGTCACTCAGGGAAAGCTTGCCTGAAGAGAACGGTCTTCACCTGCTTCTAAAATGACAGCAAAGATGGAGCCAAAAACAGTAAGTATACATACATTAAATCAAACAAATATCACACTGAAACAGTAAAAAAAATCAACTCAAAAATATTTAAAAACAAACAAGGGACAACAGTCCATTTAAGAACCTTTCTTAGACAGCTAGTCACTCAGGGAAAGCTTGCCTGAAGAGAACGGTCTTCACCTGCTTCTAAAATGACAGCAAAAATGGGGCCAGCTTAGCTTCTTGTGAGAGGGAGTTCCAGAGTTTGAGAGCAGTGACAGAGATTGCTCTCCTGTGTCCCCACCAAATGAAATTGTGAAAGTGATGGAACCAAGAGCAAGGCCTCCCTTGATGGCCTTAACACCCAGACAGGCTGTCTGCTATACTTGGTAACCCAGTTGTGACATGATATCAAGTTCTGGAGTTTGAAAAGTGGGGCAGGTGACGCGTCAAAACAGGAATGACAAGAGGTTCTCAGTCTGTCCTGTTTGCCTTTCTTTTAAGTGAGGAATTACACATTTTAGTGACTTTTTCATAGGAGCTTCCAGTTTTTCCCCCACATCCAGTGTGCATAGCTGGATCCAGATGTGTGGCTGTGTCTTAATGGAAACATAAGAGGTGGATATTTTAAGTCAGGCCATTTCTCCACCCAGCCTATTAATGTCTTCTCTGACAGGCAGCAGTTCATTGGCAGATGGTGTTTCCTTCCCTCTTCTACCTTAATCTTTTCTTTCTCTTTAACTGGAGATTCCAAGAATCAAACTGAATGTTCTGCAGGCTCAGCATGTGCCTTACCATTGACCTGAGGCTCCACTTGACACGTCCTTCGTTGTTCCAGTCTTTGGTGTACTATGGGATCTATGTGAGAGCCAAAGCCGGGTGATAATTGTCCCCCCTGTTAGTGGCAATGAATATAAAGGACCAGGAAAAGTAGAAACAGACATGGGAACATTCATTTTATGGCTTTCTAGCAACCTGGATCTAAGCAAGAGTTGTTACTGGCCAGGAGTGAGCAGAGGAGAAGGCAGCTAGCTGGAGGTTTGTGTTCCTTCCAGCAGCAAAAAAATTTCTTTGTCCTCCCATTACCCTGACAGATGCTGTGGGATCAAAAGGGGCAGGGCAGCTGGCTCCCGCCTGTTTCCTTGCTCTCCTGTGGAGAGAAAGAAAGGAGGGAAGCTGTGTGTGTGTTGTTTGTTTCTGCTTACAGCCAGACGTTATTCTTGGCTCTCTCTGTTAATATAGCAAGTCAGACTTGGGAAAGATTTGAAGCATAGATTGCAATCAGACCATGCAGGACATCTGCCATTAAAACATGGAAGCAGATGGTAAGAGGCAATTGGAAATGGAAATGGATGTGCATGAACAGGCCAAAAAGGTGCAGCAGGCTTTGGAAGGGACCTCTGGAGTATTCAGCAGAGAACAAGGCCATGTTTTAATCTAGTGGGTGAGCTCTGAACAGGAAGGAATTGTTTTTCTTAGGAACTTGATTTCATTACATACTGGGACGGGCAAAAGACCAGAGTCTTAGATCATCCCATTATCCACTACACTGCACTGGCTTTAGACATCCTGGTTGAATTATGAAGGATTCATCCTGCTCATTATCTTCATCCTGCTCCTGCTCCTTTTTCATCCCACTGACCAAAGGGTGGGAAATCCAAATCTACATTCATTGCTTCGCTCTAAGACAAAGTCAGCTCGGCTGCCTGGTGCCTTCAATCCTAGCAGTGCTTTAGAATACAAATAACGTCAAGGTTGTTTTTCAGACCATTCACAGTTTCTAAGATGACCCAGAGGCTATTTTGCCATGCTGGAAGAATCTGTAGAGACATGTACAGCTGCGTTTTATGTCACAAGCTGTCAAAAAAGAAGCTGAAGCAGCCATTTTATTATTCCACATGGGCTGACCAAAGACACTTAGTTGCCTGAGGCAAAGGTCAAAATGGTGCACCTCCCCATTCGCTTCTAGAAGACAACTAGACAAGCAGTTGTGTCTTATTTTGATGTGGGTGGTGAGACAGTATCTTTCTCCACTGCATCTGGATGCAGCAGGCTAGATTAGAGGGTGCAGGGTGGGCTATCCCACAACAAAAGGAAAGAGCTATGTTTCACCTGTCACACCACCCAGTGTGTGCCACCTAAGGCAACTGCTACCTTCTGCTGAATGGTAGGGCTGGCCCCGTTCCCAGCTTTCTCCCTACCTTCAAATTTATTAAGAGTGCTAGATTTGGTATATGTTAAGCATTTTACTATATATTTTTTTTCCAGAATGTCTTTATGTAATCCTCCGAAAAGTCCTATTCTGCCACTTCATTACAGTGTGGTGGTGAAGCGGTCTTTGAAGGCCATTTGATTGCAAGCTCTATGAGTTTTCCAAAACTATCGGTGCACCAAGTATAGCTTTGTGTATCTGTGCTCCTAAGTCCTGTCTGACTAAACATGGAGAAGCTCATCATCAGACGCTTGCCTGTTAATTGATGAAACTTGTCCATAATGGCTACAAATGCAGTGATGGTATGATAGGACTAATTTCACTGATGGTTTATATTGTAATGGGTATCTGTGTAGTATGGCAGACTAGCACTAATTCCTTTAAATGGTCCAAACATTTGTGCTAGTCAACAATCATGACATGCAAGGTTTTTGTAGCTGTGCAACCAATATACAAGTCACACAGTAAATATAGTTTACTATGTAGATCCAATTACTCCTGAATGTAGGAAAAAACATGTGAGAACTTGCCAGACAAATATACATTAGGCATTAATTCCAAAGTTCAGGTCAACAAGGGAATGTGCTACTCTGTTCTCAGAAATTATTGCTCACCCCACCTGTGATTCACAAGTTCACCTAGTCCATTTCAATGTGGGACTGTATGGGTAAAGCAAGGTTGGTAGTACTTGGATAGACGTGCAAAGTATTATTTGAGCAAGCACCAAGCAACTATGGAATAACTGTGATAATTCAATAGGTTTGTACTGTAGTTAGTTCCTTGAGATAGATTCTTAACAATTCCTGGTCCCTTATTGCAGAACAACCCAGGAACATACCTGACTATTATGGCAATACTTACAGTCAAGCATTGTTATGATATTTGATTTTAGCCACATGCTTACATTCTAATCATATAACTTTTACTTAGCCCAGATGCTGTGTTCTGCAGCTGAACCTTACCCTGCTGGCCCATGCTTCCAAGGATAAGACAACTGAGATCTGATAGTTGAGGAGAAAGCAAAAAATAGGAAAATCCATACTCCAGCTGAATCTTACCCTGCTGGCCCATGCTTCCAAGGATAAGACATCTGATAGTTGAGGAGAAAGCAAAAAATAGGAAAATCTATACTCTGTAACCTGTACTCATCCAAAACTGCCTCTTCCATCCATCCATCCATCCATCCATCCATCCATCCATCCATCCATCCATCCATCCATCCATCCATCCATCCATCCATCCATCCATCCAGGTCTGTGCAAGCATCTTTAGCGGCAAGCTGTGTTTTGCTTAGTGGTGATCAAAAGCAGACCATGAAATAGCATTGTTGTCAACTACTTCAAGATAAAACATGCAGTTTCCATTAAATCTTGATTGATGTACTGTAATCAATATTGATTTGGACACTGATTATCATGAGCATAGAACTGGCCCATCAGAAGGTTGTGGGGTTTGTTTGTTTGTGTTTATGTCTCCGAGCACTACAGTCACCATAGTGAATGATAAGAGAGAGAGAGAGAGAGAGAGAGAGAGAGAGAGAGAGAGAGAGAGAGAGAGTGTGTATGAGAGAGAGAGAGAGAGAGAGAGAGAGAGATCTGGAGCAGCATCAATAGCACAGACCTTTTTTAAAATTAAAGGCATAAATTTGACACTTGTCTCACCTCTGATCCTTGCCTGCACTGTTATCATTACAGTTTCAAAGGGCTTTTAAGGTTTTGAGATTATGAGTCAAGTTTTGCTTATCTTGACTAGAATCTAGTGCTCCACAGGAGAGAAGCACGTTAATAGTCTATTACACAAGAATAATGTTTCCATTTCTTTTTTACCAAGATTGTCTTGGCTTAACTGCTGGACTATTAATCAAGATGTGGACCATCTCTTAAGTATTTTATGTGTTCCAAGAACTAATATTTGTTGAGATTGAGTGTTATGAAATCAATAAGTGTTATGAAATGACATCTTACATCATCCTAAGTTGAAAGACATTCTATTTGTAGAAGACTTTTTTCCTCTGCCTAACCTTTGAATCTATTCTGCCTAAAGTGGGAATGTATTGCCATACAGGCTTAAACTGCCTAACCATTATTCCGTCTGTAGACCAGTGAGGAAGCTGTCATGAATCTCTAACAAACAGTACGAAGCTACAGTTCCAAAGATTCTCTTGAGGGAAATGTGGTGGTTAGGATTGCTCTCAGAGAAGCTACAGCAAGATGAACATCCATGTAGCACTTCTGCTGATTTGGAGCCTTTATGTTTAAATTTATTGTGTATATTTACTTGACTTAGGTTTGTACATACAGTACACAGGCTCGGATGCCCAAGTTGCAGTT